TTACCCGTTTTATACCTTTTTCATGAGTAGTGCCCTCCGTACCTCCTTTGCAGCGTAATACACTATGATCTTAAAATTAGCGGGTGGTAATAGATGCAGCTGCTGTTCCTACCACCTTAGTTTATCTGGAGTCCTAAGAGTGACACTTTCCTAAAGAACCTTCCTTTCTAAACTCAGACTTGCTTTAAGCAGATACTACATATGGCCCAGGGATTTGGCTCAGTGGTTCCGCTGCCTGCCTTGAAAGTACAGGGTCCCGAGTTCGAACTCCAGTACCAAACAAACAAATGGAAAACAGATACTAAATATGGTTCATGTTCTAATACCTTCACTGTCTTCAGAAAAGTCCAGAAAGCCACCAATGACATTTCCAGAGTGTACTTGGAGGATCTTTGGGGGTGAACCAGTGAGAAACTCAGTACTGTGCTCACATCTCTGATCCAGTGGTTTGGCCATTGTAGTAAGCCAATCATTCATGGTTAGACATTCATGAAGGTAGCAGAAGGAAAAGTATTCTAGTACTGTCATGTTGGAAGCAATAAAGCACCTTCGTCCCAGTTTAAAGTCCTTTGGATAACTAAGTTGTGCTATATATTAAAACACAAACTTAAATTTACTCTGTCTTTGAAGACTGGTAAACATGACTGCTCACAAGAAACTGGAGCTTAACATTGGCCTGGCCCATTAAGACATTTTGAGCATCTCTGAGCAAATGTCTTGCTTTGTTCTGATGTCAGGTGTCACTTCTTAGTAGGCAAGGTCTTTGTGATTTTCACCTTTAAACGCTGAGAAGCCCTCCCACAAGGGCAAAACTCTTGTGACAACAAAGCAAAGAGAAATGTTCTGCTCAATCCTTATGAACTGTGTTCTTTAAAGGATGCTTGTCAGGCTTGCTCTGAGAAGGGTGCTCCAGGAGTCTCTTGCTTACCTCATTCTTAGCCCAGTCCTTTAGGCTAACAATAATTTTTCTTTAGTAGTGCTTTACAGTTTAGAGCACTTTACCATTCCTGAATTCCAGAATTTAAGTGGGATTTGGCAACCCTGTCTCTATACATCATCAAAGTCAGTAGGAGAAGGTAGATTTTTGAACATATTGGGAAGTCTGAAATGAAGAACAAGAATCCATGAATTCAGCTATGTGAAATAGATATTAATGTAGGAAAAAGGGAGAGTTTAATAGACAAAAATGTGAATAGAATGAGAAAATTTTAACCTGATCCAACCATAGGTTAAATAATAAATAAAAAGCTCTGTAAATTTATGGGGGGGTCAAGAAATTTAACGGGGAGAGAAAGATATCTTTGATGTTCTTTGAGTCAGAGAAAAACTATCAAGATGAAAGAAATGTTAACTCTACCTGGGTAGATTTTTATTAGACCTGCACTCTAACCAACTGAGCTATGCCAAAATACCTGGCAGGTATTTTAAGATGAAGTTTCTCACTGATACGTTTTTGTTTAGATAAAAGTCACACAGGAGCTATCTAGTATATTTAAGAGAATAAGCATCATTTGAATTATGTAACCCATTACATATAAGATGGATTTAGATTTTCAAATTCTTGGTGGATTTAATAATTAGATAAAATATACTAATCATAGTTTCTCTTTTAAGTCATAAATATATTCTATAATCTCATACATTACATTTTCCTGGATTAGTCTCTCCTGTGCTGGTCACTTGTGGCAGATGTTATGCCCTCCCCCGCTGCAAGCTTCCCACAGAGACAGCAGACATATATGGCCAACTCTGTACCATGTGACCAAGCCAGATACATTTGAATGGTCCAATGGTGGGTAGAGACCCAAGCGCAGCCAATCCCTGGGCTGAACCTAAGGGGAGGGCTGTTACAAAAGAGTGTCAAAGTGGCTGAGGGGATTGTGGGGACAGGGAAGGGGACAGCGAGCTCCTCTGGGTGCTGGATGGTATAGTCTCTCCACCAGGTGGGCTGGGTGGTTATAGTGAGCTCCCAGAGAAAGTTTACCTCCTTGCTATAGGTAACCTTACAATTAAACTCCATTCCTAAGGCACCCCGAGTAACCGGTGTGCAAATCATACTCCCCCAACATCATTAATACTCTAAAAATGTGGTAAACTTATACTATAAACTTCAGAGGCAATTTGTTTTAATTTGACCTATACTAACTTTTAGAAAAATATTTTTGGAGAGAGTATAGTATTAGGCCATTATTAGGCACAGGAGGGTTTTAAAAAATTTGCCGTGGACTCTGTAGAAAACATCTCCAGCTTGCAAAACAAAACAAAACAAAATTATGTGGAAGGTGTCATTGCCACCATTATTGGGATAAAATCCAGGAGGACCAGTGGTAATTGTTTTCTTTGAAGGCAGATATAAAGTTGTATGGCTTGTTTCTACCTCTTAAATTAGGTTGTTTATGTGAAAGCTTCTTCATCTCTAGGCCGGGGTTTACCAAATGCTTAGACCGTGTCTCTCAGTTTTTCATTACCAGTAAGGGCAGAAGATCAAGTGCTTTGGTCATTTAACTAGGTCTTGGGTTGTATTGCTAACATTGCGTTAGAGCACGTTTAAAAAAAAGAGCAGCTAAGTTTACTGTAGTAGAAAAACACAGGAATGTCTAGCAGATGAAAGGGGTTGAGAACCTGGGTTCTGGTTCAGCAGCTAATAAACCATATTATCATCTTCACCTGTAAGACAAAGAAACTGTGTCCCTGAAATTTTCTCCATCGTATTATCTCTTTCACAAAAACCAAAGCTCTGCCAAAGCAGCGTTGCCTGCCTGGTCTAGGGCCGGGTCCTAGAATAAATCCTGGCACCTGACAGATGCTCAGAAATGTTTGCTGCTATTGAATAATCCATGCTGTGCATCGTTCACTAGAAGACTCTTCCATGTGAAGGGCTCAGTTAGTTTTACACAGTGCCTGACTCACTAGCTGAAGATCCCATGTGGCTGTCCAGGGGAACCTGCCTCGCTCATTAGTACAGAAATAGAGGCACAGAGAAGCCTTTCCGGGGCAAGAAGACTGGCCCGGGAGTCCGCAAACGTGGCCCACCACTAGCTCCTGTGTGGCTCTGAGTAAGTTGTCCCGTCCCTCCAAGGTTCTGTTTTCTCCTCCTTGAGGTCAGAATGCTAATAAGGACCCTTCTGGAGGCATTGCCTCTGTGATAAGTGAGCACTGAGGTCAGATAAAACCTCGGGAGGAGGATGTGGGCTGCATGAGGCAGGACTGTCAGACCGTGCGCGTGAAGGCGCCAGCTCATGAGAAACCCCGAGACAGGCGGACTTTGCTTTTTATGTTCACCTCTTAACATCCTTTATGAGCATCATCTGGAGTGGCTGCTCCTTCGCTCTCACTGGTTTATCAGTGCAGATCACTGTCTGCTGCCATGTGACCTGTGATGGGGTGGGGACAGCAGGAAGGGAAGCTGCCAGCCCGCTGTCTGTGGGAATGGCCATGTATTTACACTGGCCAGGTGGGTGATTGATTATTCTGCTTTAAGTTTTACAGAAAATTCCATTTTTTTTTTTTTGGAGACAGGGTCTTGTTATGTGTTCTGTGCTAGCCTTGAACTCACTGTGTAGCCCAGATTGGTCTCAAGGTTGCAGTGATTCTCTTGTTTTTGTTTCTAAGAGTGCTATGATTGCAACTGTGTGCTGCCACATCTAGCAAGTTCCACTCAGTCCTATTTTCCTTCTCTCTCTCTCTCCTTTCTCTCTCTCTCTCTCTCTCCCTTTCCCTCTCTCTCTCTCTCTCTCTGCCTTTTTCTCTCCCTGGAGTGCTGGAGATCAAATCGAGGGCCTTAAGAATGCTAAATGAGTTCTCCACCGGTGATCTGCTTCCCCAGCCCTTTTGGGTTTCTTTATGAAAAATGACGGGACATCTCATACTTATTAGGATGGCCACTACACATAAGATGAAAACCAGAAACACCAAGGAAATAGCAAGTATTGGTGGGGTTGAGGAGGAACTGGAACTCTGTTCACTGTTGGCAAAAATGTAAAATGATGTAGCCACAATGGTGAACAATCTGAAGGTTCCTCAAAAACTTAAAAGTGGAATTACCATATGACCCAGAAATCCCACTTTGGAGATATATATATAT